ACATTTTTCTTCTCACCATCTGTTCTTTCGTTTTAACTTTGTTATTCTGTCCTGGACTTTAAGATCTGAACAATAAGCCTGGATTTTGTAGACATTATTAAGAATACTTGTTTTATTTTTTTGTGTAGGGCAGCTAACCAATCAATTCAAAGATTTAAAGACTGAGTGTAATCTTTAAATCTTTGACAGTTCTCAGATGAGACTACTATTATGTAATGAGTCATTTTCTAACTATTGAAGACTAGAGGGCAACAAGTTATACAGGAAAAGTGTTGATTTATATTCTAGTGATGATCAACTAGCATAGCTAAAAAAAAGAACATTAATTGAACAGGTCTTGCAAGGGCATGGAGCAAAAGGCCCTTCATATGTAGTACTGAAGGCACTGTACATTGAGAGAACCTGTCTAGATTATTACTAAGGACAAGCTGTCAATAACTATCGAAATTTTAAATGTACAAACATTTTAACCCAACATTATTCACTGAATAAAATTCTGTAATATACAAGAGATGTGTGGTATAGTAATGTTTAAATAGCAGAAAAGCAGAAACAATAGAAATGTTCGCCTCTAAGGGATGTTAAGTAGGTAATTATGCTGATCCAAAGAGAAGTCCAAAATATCCAAATGTTAAAAGTCCAGAAAACAAGAAAACATTAAGTAGCACATTATATTATCCTATTTATAATGGAAAAATGTATATGTAATATTTCTGTATACAAAAAGGAATGAAAGGTAATATAGCCAATTAAGAAGTTACCTGAAAAGGTATACGAACACAGTTCACAGAAGAAAAAGTCTTTAAGCATAAAAACAATGCTCATATTCCCTAATAAAGAAATGAGGACAGCGGCTCCTACTCTATAGTTTGAATTAAAAATACTATTACGTATTATCAAAATTTTTTTTCTGTATATTTTTAAAAGTATCAAAGGACTTTCTAAAAAAAGTAATAAACTATCACAATGTATCAAAGACAAAGATAGCTGTTTATATAAATAATTCCTTGTAACCTCATTTATGAATTCCTTAAAACTTTCTGTGTGTGTGTATCTGTCCCTAAGGCTGTGAATGTTTCTTCTCTATTCCATGACTATGGTTCAATTTTTTACACTTATATCTTTAATCTACTTGGAATTCATTCCAGTAGGGGGAGTTTCTTACTTTCTCTCAATGATTAACCGCTTTCACCAACACCATGTATTGAAGTTTCATCCAATTCCACCCATCCCTCACATCTGTCATTAAAGCCACAATTATCTTTCACCTGAATTATTTCTACGAGCTCTCAACTGGCCTTCCTCCATTCTGGATTCCATTCCTCCCACCCTACCACCACTCCTGCCCAAGTAACTGTTCTGTATACTCCAATCAGAGTGATTGTGTCGCTTGCCTATTTAAATGCTTTCAATGGCTTTCCATTGCTCTGAGAATGAAATCCAAACATTTTAATAAGCTCACAATTAGGGTGACCACATAATTTATCATCTAAATAAGGAAACAACTGAAATTGAAAGAGAGGCTATCAATCATAATGCCAGAAGTTCAGGCATAAACCAGACCATCCTGGGCAAACAGGGATGCGTATCCCCCACCACCCCAATCAAAGGCTCTGCTGCCTAGCTCTAAACTGTTGCCCCTCGTCTTTCACAAACAACTGTTCAGCCAAAGTGAACTTATTTTACAACCTCAAACTTGACAAGTTATATTCTTTATGGGATTTCACATACTATTCACTCTATTTAAAACATTTATTTTTCACATCCTACCCTTGACTCCTCTTTCTCCCTCCCTCTCTCTCCCTTCTTCTCCCTTTTGATTATCTCAACTTATATGCCACTTCCTTCAGAAAGTTTTCCTCCCCGCTCCCTGCCCTGCCCCCGCCCAGACCTCTCCCACAACCCAAGTTTAGATTTAGCACTACTCCTGTATTCCACACGTGCCCTTTTCTTACCCAGAATTTCTCCTATTACCTTCATTAATCTACGTATATCTTCTATAAGTTGTATCTATAGAGCCTGGCACAGAGTAGGCATTAAATAAACACATGAGAATGAATGAATCAAGATGTGACGCCAGTGACATTTACAAATTACCAAAGAAAGTTGTAAAACTTTTCAAAAGAGTTGGCAGATCTGTGGGATACATTACCTTCCCATAGTGGCTACATATTTGGTTGTATACATCTGTGTGTATTTTAAAAAGTTATTATTATTTTGGAGGTACACCTCAGGTTTCTTTTTAGTATTATTGTGAATTGAATATTTAAAATGGAACAGCAATCTTTAAAAGTAAATACTTTCTTTATCCAGTGAAAATTAAAGACAATATTCAAATTAACACCCCAGGATTCATATTTCATATTTTAACTGTCAGTTCGACTAACAATTCATGTATATATGTCATATTCTACTGTACCACTTTGATTCTGCTTAAAAAAAAAAAAAAAAGCAAATATTTTATTTCATTCCCAGGACAAAAAGTGGGCAGTGATCGTATTCTGAAATAGAATAAAACTTATTTGGGGGCTGCGCTTCTTAAAGTAATACCTATAAAAGTGAGATTCAAAATGATGACAGTTAATATAAATGATTTCAAGGAAAGCAATGTCAAATGTTAGGTCAAAAAGGAAAGAAAGTTTTTTCTTCCCAAGACTGGCTAACTAGAAAAAGTTATTGCCAACTGCAACATCATGTGCCTGCAATCTTACCCACCTTCTACAAATTATTCCCTGAATATACACCTTTCAAGCTGACTTCTCACCCATGCTTTATTCGCACTGCTATGTAAGTATGAAAAATAAAATTATTCCTCTAAAATAATTTTTGCTATGATAAAGTTCAAGTATTCAAGTATAAAGTTTTTTTGAATGGCAGTGTATAATGCCATCTAAAATCATATCTGCCTCTCAAGTCAAATGCCAGTTTCCATCCAGTATATTTGCTGTTATTAGCTATTTCATTTCAAACGAACTTGAACAGAACACCAAAATCATGTTTTGTTTTGGTCGGGAATTTCTAATACTCAAACCAAGATAATACTTCTCAGAAAGGAGTTAACAAACTTATCGCAGCTAACCTGAAATGCTCTGGTTAATATCGCTTTCTTATGTACAGTCTAAGACCAACTGATGAAATTTTCAGAGCATTGACTGTGAATCTCCTACTCTGAGCTCTTAACCTTTCCACACACTTTGTCTTTAACATAAAGCAACTATTCTGCTCTAATGCAATCCTTATTCTTTTGGAACTAAAATTTAACCAGCCTCCTCTGTACCCTTACAAGTTAATTACTCTCATATTACTAATCATAATCCATTTACCCTTTACAGCAATATATCCGTGTACTTAAATAGGGGTTAGAAATTATAGTCCATGTATATCTTCATCTTTTATTTAAAACAATCTTTCTTTTTTTGAATATCAATTTAAGACCATAGATAACATTCCAGTGGAGATTATTCAAGGAAGGTAGAAAGCAATTTTGCATCTAGGCATAAATTTTCATCCAACAGTCCACGTATGCTTAACTAATCATGTTAATTACATAATTATGTAATCTATATGTAACTTTGACTCATGGACAATGTTTTACATACAACTGCAGTAGTGTCTAGTCCAAAACATATAAGTTTTGGGATTTAGTGCACTAAGAATCTTTGAATTAAGGACATTTTCAGAATGCCTTTTGTTGACTAATCACATTGGAGGAAAAAATAAGTGACAAAACATGGGAGGAAAATTGCAAGGAGAATTGAATTTGTCTACTGATATTTTATTGGTATTTATGCTGAAACACTGCTCTGCAAAACTATAGGATGTATTATAACATGAACTGATACAGGGATAGGAGACGGGGTGGGGGGAAGGAATGCTGAAATAATCCAACAGAAAAATAGATATAGTTGTCAAATATATTGGAATACCATTAACTAGCCAAGTAAAATGAAGCTAAACCAAATCACTAATAGGTTCTGTATTCTGTACTTGTAACTTCATTTAAAAGGAAAATAACCATGAAGCCACATTATGTCTGCCAAATTAAATCCTGAGCTTCTCAACTAAAGTATTTTGTAATGTCACAACATTAGCATCAAAAGCTCAACTCTTTTTCCTTAATGAGAGTTAGACTATTAAAATACTATGCGCTTTTTAAAAATACATTTACTTGAAAATTGATGCTCGAAACAAAATTCATCTGAAGTCTCGGAAAGTGGCCCTTTTGGAAGATATTTATTGCACGTCCTCACCTTCACATTGGGTTTTGACAGCAGTTTCAACAGCTCTCTGATCTCACTGTTTAATGGCTTGTTCTGAAGCTCTTCGGCCAGCTGCAAGAGAGATCACATTGACATAAAGAACACTTAGTGAGAGCGTTGGGTAGTTCCACGTGTGACCACTGCGATTCTATCTTGCTACTGTTCAGTGATTAAGGAGAAGTCGGCATGAAGGAAAACAGACTATCAATCATTGCTCTTCTTTTTAGGCCCTTGGTAGGCCAGATCCTAGCCCAGGCTCTTGGCTGAGCATAAATCAGTCAGATCATCTTCTGATTTATTACAATGAGGGCAAACCCAGCACTTCATCTACCGAATGGGGTTTAGCGTGCAGACAAAGGGCTACTTGTAAAAAGGACTGGATCAAGCTTTGACTCAATTTGAAAGGGAGAAAGAGAGAGAGAAGAAGAAAGGAAGAAAGGAAAGGAGGAAGAGAAGAAAAGAGAGAAGAGAAAAGAGAAGAGGACCTGCTGAATGAGGTGGTGAAATCCACAAGGTTTCCCAAAACCCACAGTAGCTTGCTATTCAGAGCCTGGGTGAAAAGAACTAGAATGCCTCTAATAGAACAAATAGTCTGAAACTTTTATTATGTTTACCTACACAGACTAAGAAGTCTGTTAAATATAAACCAAGTCAATCATAAAATGACTTATAACAGGTTGACAACTACTCAGCACCAAAAACGCTGACTGTCCTTTACAATGATTAAGAATTCTCATTTGCTGGTTGTAGCTAAAGAAAGGATTTGTTGGAGCTTTGAACCTGCCTCATGTTCTTCATTAAGATATCTTCCTATCAGAATTTATATTCAATTTTGTATTATAGGAAGGATCACATAATTTTCATAAGAAAAGCAAGACTCGAAAAAAGATTAGAATTATGAAATAAGAAATACAGAAGTCAAACAATGTATATATTTTCATTTAAAAACCTTTCTAAAACATTGGATTAAATTTCTATTTGCCCCGATGTTTCTATCAAGCTAAAAATTTTCTTATCTCTGGAAAAGTACTTTTCTCTAAAAGAAAGACATAATATAAATTATGCACAAAAAATAAAATCAGTATATTCATCGATTACATTTTGAAAAGTGCTTTTACTTTTTCAAGGTAACATTTTTACAAAATTAAGTTGCAGAAAGTCACAAAGGGCTCTTTGCACTCTTTGGTCACTTAATATGTAACGGTATTTTTTAACATGTCAATGCACTTTTCTGATAAATTCCAAAATGCCGTTTTACCATATTTACTAATAGTCTCTAATTTTTTAAAAAAGCGATATTGCTGTAGTACGATTTCATCACTTTATAAACAAATATTTCCCCAAACCCTCGACAGTAAATTTTTAAAAACTGGTTTTTAAGACTTTCTCAAGTGGCAAGTGCAGCTTTTTGTGGAACTATATCTACACTTTTATTCATCTTCACTTTAAATGTTTTGGTTCTATAATGCAGAGGTAAGCTCCCTCATAAAATACATATGTTGAAACATTCTTGTAACCTGTAATTTTTGTAGATAAAAATGGAAGGCAAAAAGTTTGAGGACTAAACAAATACCATACAGCTTGGAAATTTATTACATATGCTTTATTTTCTAAATTAGAATATAAAGTGTATCAAGTAAACTATACCTGAACATGGTCAATTTTTTTTTATTACTCTTATAGCCATGGTATTTTACTAAACTGAATTACATTTTATCATAACAAAGTTTAAACTTAAAAAGCAACAAATAAGCTCCAGGAGATCACTAAAATCAGCCTTCACACTAACCATATTTCTCGTCTAGCTTAGTGTCCCTTATAGTTTATCCAGGTGTGCTCTCAATTCATCCGAGTCCGAAAGTTAACAGCAAGAAACAGCAAGTTAGTTCCCTCCCCCACATTGAAAATAAAATTATAGCTACAGGAAATTAACTACTCCATCAATGCCAACTGCTTCTAAAATTTATTTTTTGGTTATGAAGGTAATTTGGAAAGGTCTAATACCCATAAATCATTACTATGCTTTATAATCCATTTTAAAAACAATCCTGTCTTTTTATGTATTTCATATGCCTCATTCCTATACTAGCATCTGTCATTTTTTTAGTACTGTCAGCAATAGAGCTATCTCATTTGTCTTTCTCTCTCCAAAGCATTCCTCTTGTCTGTGACTTTCTCCAAACGCTAATAGCTGACAGCTTCTCTCTCCCCAGAGAGTTACAGCCTAAAATTTCTATTGCGTAGTTACTAAGGTAGAACAAGACGGTATCTACAGGCAAAATTTTCGAACAGGAAAGTGAGTGAAAATCAGCATAACATCGGCGTAAGCTCAGTGATGACAGGGCTTTCAGAAATATTTGCGACTTCTGGTGTTCACGCATAGGATCGCACACATCTGTCTGTGCTGGGATGAGTTCTGCCGTGGCCCGGCGGGTGGGAGACATGTCCCAATGATCTCAGAAAGGACACACTTACTTACATCATCAGCCAAGGCTGCCGCGCCATGGAGGATGGGCACGGGATTCTGCTTCTCATAGTAGTGAAGTTTTTCATGAATCTGAAAGAATAGCAAATTCATATATAAGTTCACCTGCTGACAAACAATCTGAGATATTTAACCATTTTTTATCGTTGACGATAGAAGCCAATCCATCGAATATTCTAAACGAAAAGTATATGTTCCTATGAACCTATAGATGACAAACATGCATACATAATTCATCCATGAGGATGGTCCAGTGTTTATAACATGAAGTTGAATGGAAAAAAAAAATCATCAGCAAAGAAAACCCACTTAGAAACGACACCTTTGTTCCCCCCAACAAACATTAGCTTTATAAAATCTTTAATTTCTAAAACGTAGCGCTTTAATACTTCAAGTATTGGTTGTAGTATATATTCCTGCTAAAAAACATACATTATGATTAAAGTAAAGCAGTAAGCTGGCAGCCTCGTTTGGGCAGTCTGGTATCAACCGCCACCAAGGGTGAAGAAGCTGGCGCCGTCGGCCCTGTGTGCCAGCACTCCGGGAACAACACGCTGTTCCTTTCACTGCTTCTTCTTCTTTTTTTAATTGCCAACTTTTCCTCCCAAATTCAAGTTTCTAAGAAAAAAGAAGCGGACTTCTCTTAACTAGCGACATTTCTTATAACTAGTTAGCTTAAATAAAATAATTTTCCACACTGGAAAGCAAAATTACATTAATAAAAAATAATTTGGGGACTTCATTTCCCATCATCATTACCCAAGAAACTCAAAGGCAAGAATATACTTTAAAGAATTATAAAACAAATTGTGTTCCTTTAAAATTCTAGTATTATAGATAAAAAGTGAAAGATGGTTTGACGAATGCAAAACTGTCAGCACTTGTTGAATGTATGTCCGCTCTTACACTTAAATTTTATACTTGAAAATCTACTTTAGCTTCTTATTGATAGTTGACCAACTGCCCCCCGCTACATATGAAAAACAGCTGCACCTCACAATTTCCTGTTTCTAATAGGAATCAAGGAATACACTCTTTAATTATACTCAAAGCAAACCATACTCTCATATAAAAAGTCTGGAAAGATTATATTTTGAATATCCTAATGCTACTGCTAAGAGGAAATTCTATTACCTTTTTGGCAACCTGGTACATAATGCAAAGCATCAGGGAAAGAATTTTGACACTTATGATATTCCCAGAATCATCAGGGCAAAATTCTTAATATCTTAGAACTGTTAAGTATTTATTACATTCAAGTAATAAACAAATTTCCAAGAATACAGCTTTATAAGGAATAAGGTTTGATCTGAACATTATTACAGTATAATTTAAAACAAAACCAACCATCCTAAGAGCTAAATTAATTTTGCTTAAGTACTTATCAAGAATGAGGTCACCTCAACATATACTATGATGGAATACTGAACATTCTCTCTCATAACTTTATTGCAACTACTTGTTTATATGTCTGCTTCCCTGCAGTAATAAATATAGAAGCTTGTACTTACTAGATATCATGTGCCTAGATTACCTAATAATAGTTATCAGTACTATCAGTAATTCAGTCTTCCATGAGTTCAATATTTTAATACTCTAATCCTTACAAGTACCTTAGGAGGTAGATGGCACCATTATCCCAAATTTTACAGGTAAACAGGTACACAGGAGTGAAATAACTTGCTGTGGTCCCACAAATTGTAAATGACAGAGCTGGGATTTGAACCCCGGGCCATCTGGCTCAGCCTCACAGCGTTTTGTCACTTTGCTTGCCTGACTCTCAGACTCACATCTTGTCTGCGTTCTTCACTGATCTCTTCCACTGAATGCATACGATCTGTTTGTAGGACACAGAAAGGAGGCTAGATAGAAATGTGACAGAGTAGTGACTGTTTTCAATTAAGACAGGATTACTGACAGTTCCTCTCAGTCTCTCCACCCTTATTTTTCCTTTCCTATGGCTCCTAATTTTTCTAGATTCATTTACACTAATACTATAATTATAACCAAAATTACATGCCCCACATACATTATTTCTCCACTTCATTTGCTTCCTCTGAGTGGCTTTTAAAAAGAGTCAGTTCTTCTTTCTATATCATCTTGTCTCTAGATTCTTACCCAACGGCCCACCGCTCCCCTGCCGACCTCTGGCCTTTGTACTAGATCAAGAATTTTTTAAATGTTCTGAGATTTCCAAACTCTGGCAACCCTATGTTATGTTTTTTTACTTTTATACATAATTTTTAAAATTAAGCTGGTAGGAAAGTAAAACTCTAAATAATTTTGAGCTGTTCATGTTTCCAGAAATATTGACAAATTCTGCTTAACACCAGAAAAGAAAATTTAAAAACCAAAATGAATTTTAAATTCTAATACAATAAACAGGTAACATGTATAGACTTCATGCCAAGGTTGTTCAAGAGAACTTTCTGTGAGGATGTTGAAATCATTCTAAATCTGCCTGTTCAATATGTAATTTGGACTAGTCATATACAGTTATTGAGCACTTGAACTGTGGCTAGTATGCTTGAAGAACCGAACTGTCATTTAATTTTAATTAATTTAAATGTAAATGACCACAGGTGGCTAGTGGCTTTCATATTGGATAACATGGCATAGCTTTATATTATGCACTCTGTAATTTCCCTCTTAACTACCCCCCCCACCTCAAAAAAAAATTCACTCTGATATAATTTGGCAAATTTTCCTGAATGGAAACATTTTGGAATCCAATAGACAAAATATATATCCAAAGACATGGCTTAATCATCAATAAGGCAAACTAACATCTATTACTAAATATCATGTATAGCCAAATCTGCAAAATCTCATTTTAACTAAACACGTCCCTTTGAAGATTCAGCGGTGGGATACAATTCATTTTTCTACCTGAACAACAAGAAGAAAGCAAAAGTGGAAGGAGTTGAGGAAAGGAAACAGGCGTAAAGAAGTCTGGAGAGAAGGGGAGGCTCTGGTTAAATTCATTTCCTATAAAAACTATGCAATTATTCAAAAGTAAGATCTTTAACAAGAGCATGCCAAAAAATTTAAAATACACTATTAAGAAATAACGTACATTTCAAAATGCATGTACATTTCAAGATACACACATATTTATGCCCTAAATAGTATAGTCGAAAGTATGTGTCCTTAAGGGTTTGTTTTCTATCATTATATTTGTAATCAGAAAGAGGCAGTTAAAATAAAAATCATTTTTATATGTAACCGATTCTTATAGGAAATATGTAATTACCTTCATTTATACACATCTTGAAAATAAATACTTAAAATTTGTAAGGGAACCTGGTGCCAATTATCTAAAAAGTACACGTACAGTAGAAATCGTTTTAAACGAAGCTTCAATAACAAAAGTATAAATAAGGCTTAACCAGTCCCAGTGCGATCATTTGTTTTCAACCTCTCGGTGATGAGTAGAGGCATTGAAACTGAAAAACCCACTCACGGTTACTGGAATGACATTAAGTAAACCAAGGCTGTAAAATCCGTTTCCTGTCTTCTATTATGAGCATAAAAAAGTACTGAAATAACTGCTCAGCAGTTTGAATCTCTTCTATGTTAGGTAAAAGTACCCAATCTAAAAGTGGCATTGCGTGCACACGCACACGCATGCACAACACACACCCATCTCCCTCCTTTATTTAATACATAGAAAAGAGGGAATTCTGAGTATTAAAAGATCCCTGGATACAACGACAGCCAAGATGAGCTGGAAATTATACACTATGTTGTGTAGAAATAAAAAAATATTCTAATGGCTGGGACCCTCACTAAAAAGAACAATTTAATCCTTTCTCCAAAAGGATAAAAATAATTTTAGCTCAAAAGAAAAAAGGGACAATGAAGGGAAAATTTAAAACTGAAAAACAACAAGCATAGTGAAGGCAATGGTGCTAACTGTATGTCCTCCTTTCCAGTTTTAGACCACTAACCTTTCTCTTTTGGTTAATTTTCACGGCCAATAACTCCAGAAAAAAGAAAAACTTTAATAGAATCATTGAGAGTTGAAATCCTTGTTCCGTTCCCACCTTTAATGTGATAAAATCTGGCTTTCCTTTGCCACAGATACATATTATCACATGAAATCAGTATCATATATTCTAAATTTATCAAGAATTTTTTAAAAGAATGGATGTTTGATTTCAAGAGCTGCTTTTCAGCATTGACAAACATTTTGTGTTCTTATTTGACCAGTTAATTTGGTAAATTCTATTGATAGATTTCCAAATACTAAGCCATCCTTGCACTCCCACGATGAACCTCACTTGATTACGATGGATTATTCTTTTAATGTGCTATGGAATTTCACTGGCTAATATTTTATGAAGAATTTTTGCATCAAGATTCACAACTGAGGCTGGCATTTGTATTTTGGTTTTGTTTGTTTGGTCCTGTCTTTATTGGGTATTAATATCAATGTTATAGTCATTTCATTATTTTTAAAACTATGAAAGCTTTCTGTATTTTTATATGCTCCAAGAATGATCTCTTCTTTAAGTATTTGATAACATTTCCCTGAGAAACCAGCTGAGTCTGATACATTTTGGAGGGTAGCTTTATCCCCCAAATTTCTTTATTTCTTCTGGCTGGTTTATGGCAATTTCTCCATTTAGGTTTTTCTACTGCTTCAAGTGTCAATTGCAGAAAATACTATTTCCTAGAAAATTATTTCTTTTTATCTAGCTTTAAAAAAAATTACTTAAGCAAACAGTCTCTTAGGAGTCTTTGAATTTCTTGTATTGTGTACATTTTTCTCCATTACCATTTCTTATTTGGTGATTTATACCTCCTCTATTTTCTCCTTTCATTAGCGAGCTAATATTGATTTTACTGTATTTTCAAAGAACCACCTTTTAGATTTATTAGTTTTACCATTTTTGCTTTCTAATATTTATTTTTGTTTTTACCTTAATTTGTTCCTTCTATCTTTACGTAACCCGGCCATACATCACACTTCAGTCATGTGCATCACACAAATTATTGGAAAACAAAAGAAAAGGCAAACTAGTCTAATCAGAGTTTATTCATTCCTAAAATATTGAGTAAAATAAGCA